TATGCCCTGGGCCTGTGTCCACCATGTGCATGGTGGACACGCTGTACATTCATAATTTCTATACTGTAGATTCATAATTTTTATACTGTAGATTCATAATTTTTATACTGAAGATTCATAAAATTTATAATGTAGATTCATAATTTCTATACTGCACATTCATAATTTATGTACTGTAGATTCATAATTTCTATACTGCACATTCATAATTTTTGTACTATAGATTCATAATTTCTATAGTATAGATTCATAATTTTTATACTGTAGATTCATAAAATTTATAATGTTGATTCGTAATTTCTATATTGCACATTCATAATTTCTGTACTTTTAGATTCATAATTTGATAACTATACAGTTTAGCAATTATGAATCTACATTACAGAAATTATAAATCTACAGTACAGAAATTATGAATGTGCAGTATAGAAATTATGAATCTACGATATAAATTTTATGAATCTACAGTTTAGAAATTATAAATCTAAAGTATAGAAATTATGAATGTACAGTATAGAAATATGAATGTACAGCGCGTCCACAATGCAAATAATGGACACGGGTCCATAGCATAATTTGCCATTTCCACCCCTCTATTCACAAAGGAGGATGGAGAGTTCTTAATTGTTATTATACTTGTACAGTTTGTGTTGTTTAAGAAGATTTGTAATCTGAGTCTAAACTATCATGTGTTCTCTGAAAGTCCCTTTTAGAAGATTGTGCATGTTCTCTTATTTCCTTTGCAGATATATCTTAATAAGAACATTGATTTCAGGTGCCCTGTTACTTGAACACCTATCCATGTGCTGAAATTTATGGCCATTATTTTTCTGATCAAAATGTTTTGGTGTGTAATCTCTCTTTTCTGTTTTTCTTCTCAGCACATCAGAATGAGCATCTTGCTGCTTCATTAAGACCCTTCTGCGATAATCTAAAAGCAAAAGAACCCCAATCTAATAGGAAGAGGAAGAAAAGACCAACAAAGGAAGACAGAGCTGCTGCAGATGAACTCTTGGGACTGAATCCATAATGCAGCATCTGATCTCTGCATGACTAGGTAACTAAATGATAGCTGCAGCCATGCTGTGATGCCCCATAAAAGCTATTTCATGTATTGTAATATTCGACAATGGACGGCGAGAAATATATTTGCCTAACAAGTGTATTATTATGTGATGATTAAATTATGTGTATTAATAAATTTGATACTATTTTTTGACGTTGTAACACTTTTTTCATGCTTTACAATGCTATACTTTTAATATTGTTATTGAGTTTGAATTTCTTAATATAATATATTTCGCAATTATATTATTGTAGTATTATATTATAGGTTTAATATGGTATATGATCTTAATTAGCGAGCATATATTTTAATAAAATAATTCAGAGACGACAAAAAACGTAGCAAATTTGTAATTAAATACCTTCTAACAATAAAGAATGACAACGAAATAACGACAGAAATAGTCGTTAAGTTTAGCGACGGATATTTTCGTCTCAAAATTCTAGCAAAACATAAATGAATTAGTGACGGAATTAGAATTCGTCGCAACACTTTAGCAATGCCACTTTTAGGAGTAAATTCTAATTTTTGTCCTAGATTTATATGCGACAGTACACTTTTAGTCCTTTTTTATCAGAACATCCATTTTTTGTCCTAGTATTATTGTTACATAACCAATTTTGGTCCTTTGTAAAAAAAAATCATTGAAATTTTGTTAAATACAAGAGCATTTCGCTCTTCAATTATGAGTTTTTTTTTTTCAAAAAATAAACGTAAAATATATAACGGGTCAACGCACTTTGTATTAAAAAGATCAAAATGTCATTCTATTTAACGAAATTTTAACGATTTTGTTGATAGAGGATCAAAATTGATCATGTCACAATAATACTAGGAGCAAAAGAGATGTTCTGATAAAAAAGAACTAAAAGTGGACTGCCACCTATAAATCTAAGGCCAAAAATAGAATTAACTCCCACTTTTAGTGACGAACTAAGGAGGGTGTATTCAATCATGACTTTCATAGACTTTTATGAACTTTAAAAGTTTGGAGGTATTCAATTCAAACTTTTAGAGAATCTTTAAAAGTCAGGCGGTATTCTATCAAGATTTTTGAAGAGTCTTTTAAAAATCGGGTGGTATTCGATTAAGACTTTTAAAGAGTGTTTAAAAGTCATGCGGTATTTCAAAAAGTTATGAACTTTTGTAGACTTTTAAATTTTAGGACTTTTGTAGACTTTTCCTTATCAAATATAAATAGTTGAAATCCAACAATTAACCCCAAGATTTCAAAATTTTCTTTCTATTAACTCTGGATGTTTTTCTCTCTCTATTTAAACTTTATTTTTTCTCCCTATTTCTACTATACTAATAAGATCCCAAGAGGGTTAGGCCTAAAATGGGTAGAAAAAATATCCGCCACAGTTTTTAATCAAATGAATGGCTCAGATTAATCATAAAATTGATCAGATTTAAATTTTACAATGAGATTTACTTAAATACCCACACATCGTTAGTCCATCCGTTAAAAATTTTAATTAATCGTTAGTTTGCCGTTAAGTCAATCTCACCTTTCAAGATTTTGCCAAATTTCCCTCATCTCCACAGTCGACTCACCCGTCTTCACCTCCTCCGAAGCCATTGAAAGAAATAGACTGTTGTTTAACAGACAAAAAGAAAAGGTCGAATAAGTCAAAAGCTCAGCCGATCAGACTGTCAATATCGATTCCTCGAGAGGATCGATCGGCGATCCAGCAATTTATGTATGCCTCTCTATTCGTTCATGGTCAAGAGGCCTAAGAACTTCACCAATTATCTGGCCTACGCTCTGAAGAGACTTCAAATCATCCTCAGTTTTGTTGAAATCCTTCTTCGCAGCTCTGAAATTATCCCTAACTGCAAGTTTTTCAACAACGTTGCGCTGGCTACTACTCCTGAAGGAAACAAAACTCCTTCCTCTGATCCCTCGATTTCAAATACCCCATTTAGAAAAGGTTAGTTTTTTTTTTTAATATTAAAATAAATAAAAATCTCATCTTGTTTTTCCCCTTTCTCATTCGTTGATTAAACTTCATTCTTGGCAATTTCTGTTGTTGTGTGCCCTAATACAAGTTTAGTTTAAGCCAATTTGCTTACTATATAAAAATATTGAGACTGTTTTTTTGTTTAGTATAAGCCAATTTGTTTTGTTTAGTTTAGTCATGTTTTCTGGATCCTACCTGTCAAATACACATTGTGCCTGTGATTTTTGAATTACTTTCATTGGTGTAATCTACTTGAAGAAATAGAGTTTTCTCAGATTCACCTGTAGACATTGATTTGCAAGATCCATTAGATTAAATTATTGCTCTTTAAATTTGGTAGCATGAAAAGGAGCTTATGGATAATGTTTTCCCTAATCTTATTGTCTCAATTAATATTTCCCCCTTCCTCTCATGAAATTGAGTTTGAGGGGAGATAGATTCTGATAATTATGTGGCTATATATAGTTGTAAACATTTTTATTAGGGATTTTATTGTATGTCAATTAATGTAGCAGTTGATAGATTCAGTTTTAAATATATTGCCTAAGACTAAGTTTATAAAAGTTAACAGTTTTATGAAATCTTTTACTAAAATTCATGCAGTCTAGCTACATTTAAGCCCTTTTAAGGTAAAACTATAAAGGATGAAGAGAAATGGTGATTCTATATTTTAAGCAGCTCTTGGATATTTGAAAGGAAATCAATATCCCTCTCTATGGTTAAGGACTGAAGTTTGAGCATCTAAAATCTGAACCTTTAAATACATGTTTTCTTATTAGGATAATTGATTGAAAGTTGTAACTGCCTACATAGTTATTAGTTAGATTCTAAAAAAAAACATCCAATACAATTTCATTAAAAGTATAATCTTTCATCTTCTAGATATAGTCATATATTGTATAGATAATTCTTCCACTTAGTTCATTCTTATTCTTATAGTGTAAATTGATCACAAAAATGGATGAATTCCAGTGCTGTAACATAGCTCCAACCTCTGTTTAAATAGCTGAAAGCACATGTGACCATTTTATTTGTTCAGTTGTTTAGATTCATGCATACATATATGTCCTGTACTTATTAAGCTTCTTTGATTAGACTTATAAATTCAAATCAGATTCCTGGACTGTATTCCTCTTTCTTGTTCATCAGGTTGTTGCCAATTGTTTATCTGCCCTACAAGAGATTCGGACCTTGGGAGGATCTAAATCTGAGGAAGCATCAAGGGACAGAGAGATATTGCTAAGCAAGCCAGTTATATATTTCCTTTTAAATAGGTAATATTGAAGTGATATTTACTATTTGATTTTAGTAATAAATAGAAAGTCCATACACCAAGCTCACAGAGTTATAGATGAAATCTCAGTTCCAAACTAATCTAAACTCACCCTATACACCAGTATTGGATGGTAACAAGCCTAACCCACAAAAACCACAATGCCATCATTCTGGACAAGCACTCCCTCTTTCGTACAAGAAGTTGATGACAGATCCACTATCCCCCATTTTGGACTTCTATCCTCCTGGTATGATGAATTCTACTAAATTGAATTTTTTTGCTTGATTAGTTCCTTCTGTGAAGTATGATTATTCTTTCATTGCAGATTTTGAGCTTGACATCAATGGAAAAAGGCATTCATGGCAAGTATTTGTTGATAACCTACTTTCTTCATTTATGCACATCCTCGGTTCTGAAATACCCCCTCTGAAACTAACCTTCTTGCAATTTCACATTTCCACTTGTCAGTTTTGCTCCTGTCTTAATTGCACCCATTGATTGCTCCTGCTTATTTTCCTTTGATATGTAGGCTGTAAGTTACCATTTTTTAAGGAATTCCGTATTCTCTCAGAGATAGCAAAAGTTGTGAACACATTGACGGTAGTTGTTCTTGCTGTGGATAAATAGTCATCTTTTTACATTTTTTGATTGCAATTTTGATAAATTTGAATGGTATATTTGTTATATACGATGAAGAAAAGCAGAGAAACAACCTTGGACTTGATATGCTATTTGTTCATGGATCACATCCTTTAGGTGGAAAGATCTTTTCATTCTGTAAACGGAATAAAGATAATCCAAATCAACTCAGAATTAAGGTTTGATATGTTCATGGAATTATAATATTGAGCAGAATTCACCTTTTGACCTTTGTGTTTTGGAAAAAAAAAGGGTATTTCACTGATTGATATGCACATAATTTAATGTTTAACCTTTGGGCAATTGAAATATCATGCACCATGTGGATGGAGCAAGGTACATCCTTGTCTCTGATGTTCATCACAATTGTACTCCATGTTTATTGAATTATGCTCTTTCATAAAGGCTACAAATTTGCATGAAATAAAATAACAGTCATGATGAACTTGGAGTAAGATTCTGATTAATATTGGTGAACTTGGAGTAAGATTCTGATTAATATTGGTGGAACTTGGAGTAAGATTCTGATTAATATTGGTGTATGGTTGCACTTCGTACACAATGATGCACTGTACCAAGGCCATTCATGGAATGGCAGCATTGTTAACATAGTAATATGAAGGTAGGTTGTGTATTTGGATATTGGTGTATGGTTGCACTTTGTACACAATGATGCACTGTACCAAGGCCATTCATGGAATGGCAGCATTGTTAACATAGTAATATGAAGGTAGGTTGTGTATTTGGATGAATGTGAGCTAAATCTGATCCGCCTTGAAGTCATCTTATGACAAAGGGAAAGACATTCTGCAATGAGTTCTCTTTTCTTGATTTTTTAGCTACTTTTTCAACCTATTGAAGCACAAAGAGCCAATAATGCCTCCACTGAGGCTCGAACTCACAACCTCCCATATGAGAGTCCAACCCAGGTGCCATCTGAGCACAAAGTGTTTGGCTTCATGGTTGTTGCCAATCTTTTATGCGTTAGGATTTACAATTTGATGATAATTGTGCAAGTTAAGACACTAGATTTATTTATTCATTTATTGTTAATTTAAGATTTATGTACTAAATTTATGATACCTGCTTTCTTGGTTCTCCAACTTTCAAGCTGAGATTTAAATTTTGTAGCCATGGAATGAATGGGTACATGTATATTTTTGATAAACGAGCGTGTCCTATAGAGATACCTTCACCAATCAATGGCACACACAAAAGGAAACTAAAAACATAATAATACATATCCATTTCTTTAATTTAGAATTAGGTGATAATTTTAAATTTAGTCTTAGATTATAGTTTTGGTCATTTAATACCCTAAATTATCATTTTTAGACTAAATATTTAGACTAGCATTTTTATAAAGTTGAAAACAGTTATTTTAGTGACAATTATAATCAATTTTGACTATATTATCTTGCATTCGTAAACTTAGAATTGCCCATTTAAATAAGCAAATTTAACATTCAATTATTTATGCATGGACATCTCTTATATAATTTGTATTGATTGATATACTTTAAAGTTTTATTTAAAAATAAACATTAGGCATTATCCCAATCGCGCAATGCGCGTGAAAAACTAGTAAACTTTATAAACCTTATACCTTAATTCAATAAATTATTTTTTCTTCATTATCCTATATTTTCTTCATACCTAAACTCTACTAATTTTTTCTCTCTCCTGAACTTTACAATCTTCCTCTAAAAATTCGAAATAATATTTTTTTTACTTCATTATTGCTTGTTTATTTTGATTTTTTTGTATTTTTTCTACGAACTTTTATCTTCTAAACTTTCTCTACGAACTTTTCTCCATAACTTCTAAACTTTCTCTAATTCTCCCTAAATACATGTCAAAGCAAATTTTTCATCTACCATCGTCAAATTTTACTATATGTTTCATAATATTCATATAAATACTTATATATTTTAATTTTTTATTCTTTTATGTTTATATTTGTAATATATTTTTTTTTAAACAACAAGTTACTACGAATAGTGAACTATTGTTCGCAACAACAATTTGGGGCTGCGAACAGTAGCACGTTGTTGTTGTTCGTAGTCCCAAATTGCTATTGCAAATAATAGCTCCTTGCTTGATGCCTAGCAATATATCAAGTATACTTTTTTATATATATTATTAATATTATATTTTTATTTTTATTTTATTTTATTTTATGCAACTAGACATTATATTTTTAAATATTTTATTTGAACAGACCTGTTACTATAAATTTTAGTGTTCAATAATATTGTTATGAATTTCTTATGAAATAGTTTTTTTTAATGCTTATTAATAATATATAAGTAATTAGCATATATCACCATACTATATATAAAAATAATAATGTGGAGAATGTTGATGTGGGTGAAGAACTATATAATAAGAAGAATTTTATGATATATTATAACATGTTTTGTAAGAAAATTATAAATAGTAAAAATAAAAATCATTGAAAGTTTATAATGATGTATTCAATTTACAATTTCAATGACTTTTGTAGACTTTTTAAAATAAAAAATTTGATAAAAGTTTATGAATGCTTTCTATATAGACTTTTATAGAGTCTTACAAAGGTTTAAAATTTTTTGAATGACTGTATGAAAGTCAATCAAAATTTATTAAAATCTATCATTTTAAAAGTCTTTAAAAATCCACAAAAGTTAAGATTGAATACACCCCCCTAAATTCGTTGCTAATCTATCACTATTTACTTTAGCGAAGAATTTTTTCCTTTCTAGTGATTCTTCCTCCAACCTATTTTTTATTTAATAATATAAAATATAATAAAATTCACTAGATCAACCTAATTAAAATCTTCAAAAGAAAGTACAAAACACATATAAGATACATAATGAATTAACAAATAAAATTTCAACCATTTTGAGTAATTAATCTTAAAGATCCTTACAATCGAGCTGTCTTTTCATATTTCTCTTCATTTAGGAATTGTAGCATGATAAAAACCAACTCGTTCCTCAGCGAGGCCATGACAATGTAGATCTGAGAATAAAACCACGAATGATGACAAGTAGGATTACTTTTATATGTATATACTTGAATTCCTATACTCTCTGTCACTTTTATGACTTACTAGTGTTTGTAAAGAGAGACGTGAATAGAGCAACAAATAAAGAAAAAAGTAACCGTTAATGTGCCAGCTAAAGCATGTGCTAGTTAGGGGCAAATTATTGTGTAGACCATGGTCCACACAATGTTATGTGGACCATAACAAAAAGTATATTTTTAATATACTAAATGTACATTATTTTTGTACTGTATATACATTATAAATATAATGTACACTCAGTACAAAAATAATGTACATCCCCTGAATACAATGTACATTATTTTTGTACTGGATGTACATTATTTTTGTACTGAATGTAGATTATTTTACTGTATACAAAATATGGTCCATACAACTTGTGTGGACCATGATCCACACAATAATGATTGCTAATTAGGTGAGTTCATTTTATACTACTCTACGTAAGTGTGTGAGCTGTCTTACGTTTCAAAAAGGGATCAATGATTGACTGTTGGATGTGCCAGCTAAAATTAGCCCACGAGTGATGTTTCAAAAAGAAATCAACCATTTCAACCATTACAAAATACTTGCAAATACAAAATACTTGCAAATAAGTTGTTAAAATCTCGAAAGTCTTGGTGCAATCTCCTCTATTTATGAAATTCAAATTTGTATATAAGCACACATATATAGACGTTACTAGCCATGTAAACCAAACAAATAGGAAAATCAAACAAATCATTAACAACAAATGATTCAAACATTATATTACGAATTTAATGCAAACATTAATTAAAGTTTATAAACTATATTTATAAATATTAATGTATATTATTTATTATATATAATGTCTATATAAATATATAGCTATTTTAGTCTCAACGTGTTTGTTATGTGCACAATTTGTGTTGTGTGTATATATATGTGTGTAGGAGACTATGCAATTGTGTGTGCGTGTCACGTGCAAGTGTGTATAATTTATTATATATACAACATTTACATGTATTATTTAAAAATTAAATGACTGATTAACTTTGGGGTGCTACCATTAAAATCCTGACAAGATTCAAGTACACGACTACCAATGGCACAAATCAAACTAACCCCTTCAACATTTGCTAGAATTTTCAGACCATTATCATTTGTTGTTACAGCCAAAAGTGTGCCTCCCTTATTAAACTGGATGCAAGGAGCTGGCTGAAAGTTCATAATTCAAACAATACCCTTTAAAGAGAAAACATGATGTGGATTGAAGAAAAAAAAAAGACGAGTTTCTTATTCTTACCGGTAATCCACTATAAGCTACGATAGATGTTGCTTGACTTATTGGCTCTTATTAGGTTTGTAGATGTAGATGTAGATTATATTTCTATCACCACGGTCCACCTTGCATTGTGGACACTAATTCAAAATGACATTCGAATTACGTGTCAGCAGTTAACATATTACGTGTTTGTAGTTAACATGTTAACTACAGACAAATAATATAATAACTACACTCACATAATATGCAGTTAAAAATTATATGTGCTTGTAGTGTAACATAATATATTAATATGTTCTTGTTATTAACATATTACTAGTAAATTATCCGTGCGATGTACATATACAAAATTTTTATTATATATTTAGATAATAAAATTAAAGATGAAATTATAAACATATCTAATATTTGAAAATATTCATTTATTTGATTATAAGGTTAGAGCAAAAGTATAACCCGATTAATTAAATAATATATGAATCCAATATTTTCAATTATCTTGAAAAATTAAACTCGATATTGTTATATGATTTAGGCAATTATATTATTACTAAAATAAATATGGAAAAAATGAAAATAATTTAAACAGGAATTAAGCAGTCAAAAAAAATTAGAATCAAACTCTATTTTAATGGTGTTTTCAATTACTTGATTAGCTGCAATTCTCTTTGAAATTTGTAATATAATATGATTTAGGAAATTATATTTATGAACTTATAATAGTTGTAAAAAATATGGTGAAAAGGAAAAAAAAAAAACAACATGGATTAGTCTTGATTATTAATTTATAATTTTTGTGATTTTTCAAAAGAAAAGTGCAAGTAACACAATTATATTAGGAAATTATGTTAATAGATAATTATTATTTTGGTACATTAATTTCGACCAGTTAGTACATAAAATTAATTCCTTAAGTATAATAATGAGTGACTGATTTTAATATTATACCTTATTAGTTAATATATAAATAAATTATATATATATATATATGTATGTATATATATATATATATATATATATGTATGTATATATATATATATATATATATATGTATGTATATATATATATGTATGTATATATATATACATACATATATATATATATATATATACATACATATATATATACATACATACATATATACATACATACATATATATATATATATATATATATATATATATATATATATATATATATATATATATATATATATATATATATATATATATATATATATATATATATATATATATGTTAGGAATAAATTGTAATAGATTTTGATATGCCAAATTGTATTTAGAATCTCTAATTTTATTTTGTCTAAGGGTGCGTTTGGAAACCCGAAAAATGACTTCTGGAAAATGTTTTTCGAGTATTCAGTGTTTGGTAAGAGGGAGGAAAATGAAGTCAATGAAAAATGATGCACTAGTCAAAGGAAAATAGGTATGTTTTGGGGTAAAATGACTTCCCCTTTTTTTTTTTGGGGGGGGGGGGGGGGGAGGGGTGATGTGGTCATGACTACAACAACTTAAAAGATCATTATGTTGGTCCAATCTTGTGGTGCCATCCATTCCTTATCTCTAAAATTCTGATTGTGTTTAGCCTTTGTATAGCCTAATAAATAACTTTCAAAGGGAAAACAAAGAGTTAAGAGTCTCCTAATATTAAATTTAACATAAATGCATTTTAAATAACTAAACTAACTACATGACTTCATTTCAATGATGACTATGTTCAATGAGCCTTCTAGGACCTTCTTCTTCATAATTTTTGGACCAACAAAATGATCTTTTAAGTTGTTGTAGTCATGACCACATCACTAGGTTTATCTCATTCTTATACTTGAACCCCTCTTACAAAAAAAGTAGTATGTAAGATAAGAATGAGATAAACCTAGGCTCTGAATACCAAATTGATATGAATCTAGTCCAAGATTCATATAAGATGGAGTATTGTCCCAAGATTACTCTCAATGCAAAGATAGAGATGGATCAAAATACCTTAAACCTCACGAGAAACCCTTTGTCTCGAATCCTCAAAGACTTGGAAGAATCCCATTGAAGCTTCAAGTACCTCGATGATGCAATCTTCAATCAACTAGAGTCGGATCTAGTTTCCTTCGATTCAAGAACGAGTCCACGAACCTAAATCTAAGGTTGAAGAAAGGAAGATTGATTCGAGTCCACGAATCAATTTGCTAGTCGAGTCCACGACTAGCCACTAATTGAGTCCACAATTAGCCATTAGGTTTCTTACACAAGTGTAAAGAAAAACTTAATAATTTTATTGAATTAAAGCCTGCCGAAACTGATATGGATGTGCCCTATTTATAGGTATAGGGCAGCATTGTAATCTAAATACAATGGGAAAAAGAGTCCTAAACCTAATCTAGAAAACAAGTAAATAGAGTTTTATTTAGAAAAGGATTTAAGGAATCCTTTCTAAATACAACTAGTGTTTTCTCTTTTATGCCAAACAATTTAAATTAATGATGACCAAAAATAATAGGGCTGATTTGGGCCTAATTTAATCACTAAAATCTGCACTTAAGCAATTATAAAGAGCCTTGAAATCTTCTTCATCTTTTGCAAATGGGCTTGACTTGGATTTTCACCATCTTTGAATATCACCAATGAAGAGTTGTCTTAATCGTTTGGACTTGGGCCTTGTGATTGGCCCAATTGGTACTCTTGATGGATCTTCATTATGTTGGGCCGCATCATCCTCACCTTCTTGAAAATGATTCGACCTCGAATCTTGTAAGCATTGTCTTCGATCCATGATATCACTTGAAACGGGCCACTATAATACTTTCCTCTATCGAATGGAATTATTATTGGGCCTTCTTGTTTCTTCCACCAATGATTCTTTAAGGATGTAGTTATGGGCCTTGTGATGAGCCCACTATAGACCCTTATTGGATTCCATGTGTACTGGTTCTTATTATTCTCCCCTTCTTGAAAAGGATTCGTCCTCGAATCCAAATCTTCAATGAAAGACAAAGTAGGAAGCTCACTTTTTGTTTTATCACGCTCATGGAACTCATTGAACTTCTTCTTGGGATGCTTGACACGAGTTGCTCCAATCTTCATCCTACAATAAACAAGTAAGGCGATTAAGTCTAATGACACATCATGGAATTTAAACATTCTGAATGGTAATAGTTTAACAAAATTAGACATTAAATTTAGCCATTCTTTTTGAATTATCAACAAGCACAACATCTTTCCTCCTAGAGCTTAAGGCTAAACCAAACACAAAATCCATGGAAATATCAAGTAATGATTTAGATGCATTGTGGTGGTAAGTAGCACAATTATGAACATAAGATTCTACATCTTTTTTCTTCTTTGGCCAATGAAAATATCCATGCAAAACATCATCATTCTTTGGAAAACCAAATTGTCCCTTATGTGAATCAATAATTAAACCATTGCTCAAATCCAAGCAAAAAGTGTCAATCCCATTGACTTGAACCAAAACTCCTTGAGCAAGTAGTATTTGCCATAAGAAGTTTTCAAATGTGCCTTATAACTTTCCAGTGATTCCTTATCTCTATCAAATAAAGTTTTAGTAAAATCAAAGTTAAGGAATCTCGGATGTATGGATGCAAACAAATTTCTAACACATCTAGCAAGTAGGTCATTAATAGAAACATGGCAAACAAATCTAGAGAATTTTAATGCATGCTTTTGAAATAAAAGTGAGTAAATAGTTACTTCCCTTCTTTTCTCTTGCTTAATATCCTTTGTAGTTACCAAGGGAGGTTGCACTTTGACACCTTGGGCTGGTCCTTTCCACTGTATCATTGATTATGGTCCCTTTGTTTGGCTACAAACTGAGTTAGAAGATTGGAGTGGTGCTTGCAATTCCAAACATGGAGGTTCCACTTTTCTCTCTTTGATTTCTTCCTTTGATGCTGGTTTGAGAGCTTGTATCAATGTCAATTGAATTTCTTCTACTTGTTTAGGATACAAACGAGACAAGACATATGTAACTCCATTCATGTGAAACACATAAGTGTTCCTCATTCCATCATAACTTATTTTTCTGTCAAATTGCCATGGTCTACCTAACAAGATATGAGCAGCCTGCATTGGGATATTATCACACAAGATTTTATCAGAGTAACTGTTAATAGATAAAGGAATAAGAACCTGTTTGGTTACTCTAGCTTCTCCTACATCAGTTAACCATTGCAAACAATAAAGATTTGGATGATTAAGCAAAGGTAACTGAAGAAATTTAACCATAGTTGCACTAGCCACATTTGCGCAACTTCTAGAATCTATTACCATAGCACACACATTCTCTCTAATTGACCCTTTAGCACAAAATATATTTTCTCTTTGAGACTGATCTTCTTTTAAAGGGTGAACATTCAAAACCTCCTTAACAACAACAGTATGACTAGACTCACTATCAACATATTTAGAATCAGAATCTAAAGGTATGAATGGTTCTCTCTCAACATGTTCATTGGGGGTTTCAAAATGGTCACAAACCTCATCCTCAGATTTACATTCAAGACAAGAAGTAAAATTTTCAGATTGTGTTGTTATCTTAACTACCCTCTTGTTAGGGCAATCACGAGCTATGTGGCCTCTCCCATTACATCTATAACAAATCAATTCTCTATCATGTTGAGGCCTCACTGCCTCACTTACCTTTTCCTTACCTTTGTCTCGTGAATCATCTCTTGGAGGAGGATGTTCACCACGCCTTTGAGGGGTGGAACAAGTGTTGTTCCATCTTGATGCACCATTGTTGGACTTGTACATTTTCATCTCTTTGATTTTTGCCTCAGATTCACATGCAGCATACAGGGCATCATAAAGGGTGTCATATCTCTGAATACTCATTCCACATCGAATTTCTAAGTTTAATCCATGTACGAAACGAGCAACAGTTTTTGTCTCTTCTTCATGTATGTCTCCCTGTTTAAGCAAAATACTTATAGTTTGGTAGTACTCAACAACTGACTTTTTTCCTTGCACCGTTCCTTGTAATTTTCTTTCAAGATCATTGAAAAAAGATTTAGGACGAAAGGTTAGGCGCATATCTTCCCTCACTTGAACCCAAGATTCATAGGGAATAAAATTAGCAACTCTTTCTATATTTCTTTTTTGCCACCAAGATAATGCATACCCCTTAAAAGATGTAGCAACTATCCTAATTTTTGTAAGATCAGAATATTGCTTTAAATAAAAAAGAGTTTCAACAGCATTCTCCCATTCTATGTATTCGGTAGGTCCTTTCTCACCGGTGAAGTTAGGAATTTCATGTTTAATGTTTCCTAACTCCGCCGCATTACGCTGCTGGATCCTTTGACATATTGGATCCACTCTTCCTACTGGTGGCAAGTGTCGCTCATCATTGTGTGGTGGTTGCACTTGCTGTGAGCGTTGCTCCAAATTATTCATTCGCTTGAGTAACCTGTCTATCTTTTGTTCTAATGTCTGGGGAAAGTTTGGAACTTGATCAGCCATCTGTATAGGAAAAAAAAATCTAAAAAAAAAAAGAGGATATGTGAGTATTCATGTTAGTGAAACAAAAAATTTGGCTCGCTCCCTCACTATTCTCAGCTCGCAGGTAAGAGGTGGATTATATAGCTCTGGGCGTGCACTACACACTCTTACAAACACACACTCCACTCGTGTATCGCTCAAGGTGGCAGATACTCTCACAAGCCTTTTTCCAAAAAGGAAAATTCTAGTCCGGTACTCAAGTTGATATGGATTCAACCTCAAAGTTCAAGAAAACGTACCTTGGAAGACTTCACAAGCCTTTGAGAGTAAGGGTGTATCGCGAGGTAGGTAATAAAATTGAGAGCAAGAAGCAAATAAAAAGGACAATACGAGCAAAGAAACTAAATAAGAGTTGAAAGAAAAAAGGAAACCAAAGAAGGAAGTATGGCAGAAAGATATGCAAGACCAAATCAACAGATAGAGACAAATAGAATGTAAGAGGGGTTCAAGTATACCACAACAAAGTAGGAATCTATCAAGAACTCCTTCCAACCTTATACTTTTCCCCTTCCTTTTCCCTCCAAGATTCTCCTACCAACCTTATTCTTTCCCCAACCATATTCTTCTTCTTCTTTTGCTTTCTCTTTTTTTTTTTTTTTCAACCTTCTTGATTTTTTTTTGATTTTTTTGATAAGTAACCTCCAAATAACTACTGTAAATATCAAAAAAAAATTCGGACCAAGAGGATCCACACAACCCCTTCAAAACAGAACCAAGAATTTCAAGAATCACCCAGAAAAACAGAAACGCTGCCCTTAATTCGAAGATCAATATCTCAATGACCGTAAGGAATTAGCTTGTGTATAATATACCAATAGAACGCCCAAGAAGAGATCTAAAACATATGAAAATTTCAGATATAACTAACCAGTGGATCTCGAGATATAGGTCAATCTTTGAAACTGGTCACAGAACGCGGAAATCTGGACAGGGTGTGATTGCGACGTGATTGCGACGTGATTGCGCTTGGGATATAGGTAAGGGTGAGATGGGGTTGTTTTCTTGACAGAATGTGTGGTAATATGGTGCTTAGGAGGTGTGAGGTCTAGTTGATATTGCATAGGAAAAAGGGAAAACTCTTTCGGGATTGTTTTCAGGAAACTAAAGAACATGTATCAAGAGTCAAGAAAATAATCAAGAATGCTAAGGAAAATTTTTTGGGGGGGTTTTTTAATGAATAAGACACGAAAAAAATTAGTATGTAAGATAAAAACGAGATAAACCTAGGGAACCAAAGAAATCAAATTTCTAACGATAATGAGATAAACCTAGGCTCTGAATACCAAATTGATATGAATCTAGTCCAAGATTCATATAAGATGGAGTATTGTCCCAAGATTACTCTCAATGCAAAGATAGAGATGGATCAAAATACCTTAAACCTCACGAGAAACCCTTTGTCTCGAATCCTCAAAGACTTGGAAGAATCCCATTGAAGCTTCAAGTACCTCGATGATGCAATCTTCAATCAACTAGAGTCGGATCTAGTTTCCTTCGATTCAAGAACGAGTCCACGAACCTAAATCTAAGGTTGAAGAAAGGAAGATTGATTCGAGTCCACGAATCAATTTGCTAGTCGAGTCCACGACTAGCCACTAATTGAGTCCATAATTAGCCATTAGGTTTCTTACACAAGTGTAAAGAAAAACTTAATAATTTTATTGAATTAAAGCCTGCCGAAACTGATATGGATGTGCCCAATTTATAGGTATAGGGCAGCATTGTAATCTAAATACAATGGGAAAAAGAGTCCTAAACCTAATCTAGAAAACAAGTAAATAGAGTTTTATTTAGAAAAGGATTTAAGGAATCCTTTCTAAATACAACTAGTGTTTTCTCTTTTACGCCAAACAATTTAAATTAATGATGACCAACAATTATAAAAAGCCTTGAAATCTTCTTCATCTTTTGCAAATGGGCTTGACTTGGATTTTCACCATCTTTGAATATCACCAATGAAGAGTTGTCTTAATCGTTGGGACTTGGGCCTTGTGATTGGCCCAATTGGTACTCTTGATGGATCTTCATTATGTTGGGCCGCATCATACGGGACCTGGGTAGGCCGCACATCTTTCTAGGCATTGAGGCCATATATGATGCCGACTCCAATGTATTGTCTTAGCAACGCTACATGACCGAGCTTCTCCGCAAAGCGGGGATGGAGTCTTGCAAACCGCTGGCAACCCCGATGTCCATGTTCACGATGAACACCACAGACGATGCAACTTCAATGGATGATCCAACACCATACCGACAAATTGTAGGCTCTTTGATGTATCTCTTGCTCACCTGTCCGGATCTGTCATTCGCGGTAAATAGGCTCTGTCAGTTTATGCACACTCCCACGCAGGAACATTGGGCGGCTCTCAAGCATGTGTTACGCTACGTGAAAGGGACGATCAACTTGGGTCTTCGTCTAACTCCTACAACTTCACCGGTTATCCACGCCTTCTCTGATTTAGACTGGGTCGGCTATCCTATTGACAGGAAGTCTACGACAGGCTATGCAATGTTTCTCGGGCCCAATCTCATTTCACTCCTCCACCAAAGCGGAATACAAGGTGCTTGCTGACGTTGCGGCTAAGGTAACTAGGTTCAGGCCCTACTGCGTGAACTCGACCTACACCCTCCAACGATACAAGTCATGTGGTGTGATAATCTCGGGGCAACGTATCTCTGTTCTAATCCGTGTTCCACGGACTAAGCATGTCGAGGTCGACTACCATTTCGTTCGAGACAAGGTGTCCACTGGCACTCTTAAAGGTGAATTTTGTTTCCACTCATGACCAGCTGGACTCTCGACTACTCGGTTCAATGATCTACGCATCAAGCTGGGTGTGGTCCTCTGTCCCCCGTTAGCTAGGGGGGTGTATTAACTAGTTAGAAGCATTAGCATTCTGTTAGATTCGTTAGAGTCAGTTCCTAAGCTATGTACGGCAAGTTCAATAAATGCAGAATTCTAAACATTCATCAAGTTTACCTTATAAAATTATAAAGAGTGAGTTTTGAACCTAAGACCTTGGAGTTAAACATCAAGCTTTTAACCAACTTGTCTATACAAATTATTAAGTATTATAGCATTCTTCTTGATGTACTTCTTTCCTTCCGTAATTGCTTGAGCTCCAAGACATCATCATGCAATCTTGTTTGCTTCTTATTCCTCCTTCGAATTTCTCCAAAATTCTTCCATTGCCATTTCTTTTTAAGGTAGGGCGTGTAGGTAGGCATTTTCAAGTATACATATCATATGCATACATCTTCTTCATATGCATATATCTTCCTCTTATCTTCATATGTGTATATATATGTGTGTGTGTGTATACATACATATATATATATATATATATATATATAAACATTTTAAAAAATGTAATTTTTAAGTACGAAAAAAATGAATATTATTTGCAGACTTTAATTATTTTTTTAAATTTTGAAATAAAAAAAAAAAGTTCGCGGATCGGGCCATGGGGCCCATCAACCCGCATGGGGCGGGCTATGGTTTCATAAATCCTAGCCCACGGGCTTGGTAGGCCGACACGCAAAAGCCCGTAAAAAATTAGGCCCGAAAAATTTTGCATGTGCATCACTTAGAAAATGACCTCCCCCTCACCCCTTGATGTGGATCTTTGGGGATGAACTTGAGAGTCGATTCACCAAAGAGTCCTTTGATTGCCCGATCTTTTCCTCACCAAAACAGCAAGAACAACAATTACGGTTTGAGGGTGTTGGAGATGAAATTGGTTGATGTAGGGGCTGGATTTGGGGTTATTTTTGTGCTTTTCTATAAAGATATTTCCGCCACACCTTGGTTTTAGGTGATAAGGAATGGATGGCACCACAAGATTGGTATTATCTTGATAAGCCTAAAAGAATACATCTCAAAACACAAGAGAGACAACAAAAATGCCTAAACATTTTCTTTTGATTCAATCTCAAAAATTCTCCCCCATTCTTTTTCTCACAAAGTTTATAAGACAATTCTTCTTCCTCATCTTCAGTTTTTTTCTCAATCTCTCCTTCTTTTTCACTCAAATATTCCTCATCTTTGTTTTCACATTTTTGTTCACACATGTTTACATTCTCATTCATTTCTTTTGAGCCCTCCTCGTATGACAAGGAAAAAGGTATCAAATTCTCGACCTCTTTTTGCTGCAATTTCTCTTCAATTTGTTTGGCATGGTATAGTAAAGTAAACATGCACTTGCACCGATGAGGAAGCAACCGTGCAATTTCTTTTCTAACACCATACACGAATCTGTTCTTGGTAATAACATCTGGTTCAATCACCCCATCACGGATCATCAAATCTCTTAACTTATTATAGAATTCTTCCACACTAAGTGATCCCTGTTGAAGTATATTTAACTTAAAAGACTCCATGGATGATGTGAAACAATGAACAACAAACTAGAAAACACAAAGAATGGCAAAACAAATCTGGACAGATTTTAAGAGTGACTTTGATGAATTTTCTGGAATTTTATGGATGATATTTTGACCCAAATTTTTTTATGGTTATCAAGAACTATGGGTTTTATTCAACCATAAAAAATTTTCAGGGCAAAAGATATGTGGAACTATTTTTTCCAAAATTTTCTTCTGGACTGGACATGAAGAAAATTTCTGGGCAAGATCTTACGGTTGTGTTGACTTTAGAGAATTTTCTGTGTTTCTAGTAGTATTATTTTAACACAAAACATTCATGAAACGTTAGAGTGATAGGTTGGGTACTTCCATAAAATATTTCAACACAATTGGATATGTGGAAGTATTTATTTGGAATTTTTCTTTCTGAAGACGCAGGCTGAAAATTTTCTGCAGAAACAAGAAACAAGAATTGATTGGTAGAGTGTTAACCTTTTTTTTGTGTGAGGAATGAACCAAAAGCTCTGATACCAAACTGATGTGAATCTTTGGGTATGAACTTGAGAGTCGATTCACCAAAGAGTCCTTTGATTGCCCGATCTTTTCCTCACCAAAACAGCAGGAACAACAATTACGGTTTGAGGGTGTTGGAGATGGAATTGGTTGATGTAGGGGCTGGATTTGGGGTTATTTTTGTGCTTTTCTATAAAGATATTTCCGCCACTCCTTGGTTTTAGGTGATAAGGAATGGATGGCACCACAAGATTGGTATTATCTTGATAAGCCTAAAAGAACACCTCTCAAAACACAAGAGAAACAACAAAAATGCCTAAACATTTCTTTCATTCAACTTCATTCATCTATATCTCTAAAATTCTGATTGTGTTTAGCCTTTGTATAGGCTAATAAATAACTTTCAAAGGGAAAACAAAGAGTTAAGAGTCTCCTAATATTAAATTTAACATAAATGCATTTTAAATAACTAAACTAACTACATGACTTCATTTCAATGAGCCTTCTAGGACCTTCATCTTCATAATTTTTGGACCAACATAATGATCTTTTAAGTTGTTGTAGTCATGACCACATCATTCCCTCACTCTTTGAGATGATTCGTCCTCGAATCACACTTTCCTCGATCAAATGGAAATGAGTAATTATCTGACCAAATGACTTTAATACCTTCACCAAGGAGAGTGAGTGGTCTCGCGCTTTGTAGATCATGGTACAACAATACCATTCCTTTCAACTGATTTTCAACCCTAGAATCACATCCATTAACCTGCAAAGAACTTAAATCAAAGGTTATGGAGTTCTCAAAAATTCTGCCTAATTCTAATTGTGTTTAGCCTTTGTATAGGCTAATAAATAACTTTCAAAGGGAAAACAAAGTGTTAAGAGTCTACTAATATTAAATTTAACATAAATGCATTTTAAATAACTAAACTAACTACATGACTTCATTTCAATGATGACTATGTTCAATGAGCCATCTAGGACCTTCTTCTTCATAATTTTTGGACCAACATAATGATCTTTTAAGTTGTTGTAGTCATGACCACATCACCTAGGCTCTGATACCAAATTGATATGAACCTAGTCCAAGGTTCAAATAAAATGGAATATTGTCCCAAGAATGCTCTCAAAGTAAAGATAGAGATGGATCAAAATACCTTAAACCTCACGAGAAACCCTTTGTCTCGAATCCTCAAAGACTTGGAAGAATCCCATGTAGCTTCAAGTACCTCGATGTTGCAATCTTCAATCAACTAGAGTTGGATCTAGTTTCTTTCGATTCAAGAACGAGTCCACGAACCTAAATCTATGGTTGAAGAAAGTAAGATTGATTCGAGTCCACGAATCAATTTGCTAGTCGAGTCCACGACTAGCCACTAATTGAGTCCACAATTAGCCATAAGGTTTCTTACACAAGTGTAAAGAAAAACTTAAGAATTTTATTGAATTAAAGCCTGTTTCAAACTGATATGGATGTGCCCTATTTATAGGTATAGGGCAGCATTGTAATCTAAATACAATGGGAAAAAGAGTCCTAAACCTAATATAGAAAACAAGTAAATAGAGTTTTATTTAGAAAAGGATTTAAGGAATCCTTTCTAAATACAACTAGTGTTTTCTCTTTTATGCCAAACAATTTAAATTAATGATGACCAAAAATAATAGGGCTGATTTGGGCCTAATTTAAACACCAAAATCAGCACTTAAACAATTATAAAGAGCCTTGAAATCTTCTTCATCTTTTGCAAATGGGCATGAATTGGATTTCCACCATCTTTGAATCTCACCAATGAAGAGTTGTCTTAATCGTTTGGACTTGGGCCTTGTGATTGGCCCAATTGGTACTCTTGATGGATCTTCATTATGTTGGGCCGCATCATCCTCCCCTTCTTGAAAATGATTCGACCTCGAATCTTGTAAGCATTGTCTTCGATTCATGATATCACTTGAAATGGACCACTATAATACTTTCCTCTATCGAATGAAATTATTATTGGGCCTTCTTGTTTCTTCCCCCAACGATTCTTTAAGGATGTAGTTATGGGCCTTGTGATGAGCCCACTATAGTCCCTTATTGGATTCCATGTGTACTGGTTCTTATTATTCTCCCCTTCTTTAAAAGGATTCGTCCTCGAATCCAAATCATTAATGAAAGCAAAGTAGGAAGCTCACTTTCTGTTTTATCACGCTCATGGAACTCATTGAACATCTTCTTGGGATGCTTGACATGAGTTACTCCAATCTTCATCCTAAAATAAACAAGTAAGGCGATTAAGTCTAATGACACAGCATGGAATTTAAACATTCTGAATGGTAATAGTTCGACAAAATTAGACATATTAAATTTAGCCATTTTTTTTGAATTATCAACAAGCACAACATCTTTCCTTCTAGAGCTTAAGGCTAAACCAAACACAAAATCCATGGAAATATCAAGTAATGATTTAGATGCATTGTGGTGGTAAGTAGCACAATTATGAACATAAGATTCTACATCTTTTTTCTTCTTTGGCCAATGGAAATATCCATGCAAAACATCATCATTCTTTGGAAAACCAAATTGTCCCTTATGTGAATCAATAATTAAACCATTGCTCAAATCCAAGCAAAAAGTGTCAATCCCATTGACTTTAAACGAAAACCCCTTGAGCAAGTAGTATTTCACATAAGAAGTTTTCAAATGTGCCTTATAACTTCCCAGTGATTCCTTATCTCTATCAAATAAAGTTTTAGTAAAATCAGAATTAAGGAATCTCGGATGTATGGATGCAAACAAATTTCTAACACATCTAGCAAGTAGGTCATTAATAGAAACATGGCAAACAAATATAGAGAATTTTAATGCATGCTTTTGAAATAAAAGTGAGTAAATAGTTACTCCCCTTCTTTTCTCTTGCTTAATATCCTTTGTAGTTACTAAGAGAGGTTGCACTTTGACACCTTGAGCTGGTCCTTTCCACTGTATCACTGATTGTGGACCCTTTGTTTGGCTACAAACTGAGTCAGAGGATTGGAGTGGTGATTGCAATTCCAAACATGGAGGTTCCACTTTTCTCTCTTTGATTTCTTCTTTCTTTGAGGCTGGTTTGAGAGCTTGCATTAATGTCAATTGAATTTCTTCTACTTGTTTACGATATAAACGAGGCAAGACATATGTAACTCCATTCATGTGAAACACATAAGTGTTCCTCATTCCATCAGAACTTATTTTTCTGTCAAATTGCCATGTTCTACCTAACAAGATATGAGCAGCCTGCATTGGGATATTATCACACAAGATTTCATCAGAGTAACAGTTAATAGATAAAGGAATAAGAGCCTGTTTGGTTACTCTAGCTTCTCCTGCATCAGTTAACCATTGCAAACAATAAGGATTTGGATGATTAAGCAAAGGTAACTGGGGAAATTTAACCATAGCTGCACTAGCCACATTTGTGCAACTTTTAGAATCTATTACCATAGCACAAGCATTCTCTCTAATTGACCCTTTAGCACAAAATATATTTTTTCTTTG